CAGCACGAATTTTTTTTTTTCTTTGTTTTTTTGGGCGATGGCCTTGCCTGGCTGAAGATTCGTGCACAGATTCGCCGACGGAGATTCCCCCAAATAAAAAACAGAAAAAGGAGGAAAAGGTGCATTGCATGGGCCTCCTCTTCGCTGCCCAAAAAAAAAAAAAAAAAAAACGGAGAGGAAAAGGTGCATTGCATGGGCCTCGTCTTGGATGCCAACTCGTGACAGTTCACAGCCCGTCAGGGGTGCGTTTTCCCCCCCTGAGACATTTTCGTCGTCCTTCGTTATACAGGTCCTTGATTCGGGCTCTTTGGCCGTTGGAAGTTTCGAAAAATGCAGGCAGGTGCAGCATGACACTTGGGGGGGGGGGTGGCAGTTTCTTTGAAAAATGTGGGACCGGTAGCTGCCCATGGGACCGCGTGCTGGGTTTTGGTCGAAACGGTGGCAAAGCAGCGGCAGGGTGGAAAAGTGGAAAAGTCTGAATCGGAAAGGGCGCGGCCTTGGCCGTAGGTTGAAACGACACACCTACATTGCATTTGCAAGTGCAAACAGATGTGTCTGAACATGGATGTATTCAACACCCCACTCGTTCAGCGCCCGATTGAGACAGTCACATGTGACAAAACAACTTTTATTGAATGAAAAAAAAACTTATAGCAACAAATACTCAACCACACACATATACGACATATGGATCAAGATTCAAGGGCCACCAGCCTCGACACCAACTATGAATAAAGGTATGTCAAATATCTAATTGTCTACCGTGTGGGCGCGGGGAACGCAGCCCTAAGGTAGCCAAATCAATGAGACTAAGAGTTAACACGAGAGAGAGAGAGAGAGAGAGAGAGAGAGAGAGAGAGAGAGAGAGAGAGAGAGAGAGAGTTTTATACAATTCCCTCCGTTTCCAGGGTGCCCTCAAGCAGTTAATCAGAATATTTCTATGTTTGTTTGTTTTCGGTCCCGTATGCACCAGTTGCATCACATAGAAGATACATCCATTTTCGATCCGTTTTCTGCATTTTTTTAGCTGGAACTTTGTGTTGTCAGTTTCCACAGTTGTTGATCCGAATGTTCGTTTAATTACTTTCCATTTTTCATTCCATAGTTTTTCAGCTGTGCAGTAAATCATTGCTTTCGGTTGAAGTATTGATGTTAACTTCGTAGTGTAACCCGATCGAACCGATTTAAACAAAACAGGTATATTCTGATTCACCTCGTTGTTTTCATTCTTCTTCCTCTTTCTCCTTCTTCGTCTTCAGTTTTTCCGAGTCTGTCTGTCTTTTTCCCTTGTATTCAAGAATGGATTCAGTCTCCTAATCACTGCTGCTTCCATCCCTATCACCTCTGATCTCACTGCCGTCCAAATGGGTATGAGAACATATTTCTCCCAACCAAATTTGTGCAGCCAACTGTATAGTTTTCGCTGTGCTCCTCTATTTGGATTCTTGGTCAAGTTTATGTGTTCCGTCCATCTCTTGTCGGACTGTCTTCCTTTCGTCCCCACGTACATATGTCTACACCAAGGTGAAACTCCCTGTACTAACTACTTGCTCAATTTCCGTTGATAGCATGTGTATCTGCTCCCACTTCTGTATTGTGGTGAGGTCGTCTGATGTTGAGGTGTCTTCTACCTTCCCGACAGATCTTCGGCGCTCGAAGATGTGTCGGATGAGTCATACCCATCACTCCCGCTTGATCTTGTACTAAGGCTCTCGTAATCATCCTCACTTGTGTCGCCACCAGTTGTATTGGACACTCTGATGTTATCTGGATCTGGCATGATCTGTGTTTCAAAATCAGAATCCCGGTTGAAGTCTCGCCCCTTGTAGGCGATCAATCTAGGAACTTGCCTCAATGCCGAGATCGCTTGCGGCTTGTCCTTGTACCTGATGCCATGCATCTTGCATAAGACCTTCAGGTCCGTGTAGTGAAGACGAAGGAGCTGCATGTCTGTCATCGGTTCGACCCTGAAATTAATGCTCCGTTTTGCCTTTGACTTCGCCGCCGACACGTTGCGATTAATCTTCGTTCGTCCTCTCTTGGGGTGTGGAGGGATACGTGTCCCAATCTGCTTTTGTTCGGTGCGCTTCTGCTTGGCATGGCTCGGAATGCTGCGGCTACCATGTACTGAAGTTGGTAGTCCAGCCATTGTCCCCACATATCTATTCGGATGAACCGAAGACGACACGATCGGAGTGCAGGTACGAGTCGGTTCATTGATCTTCTGCAACGCGCCCTTCACAACCGCCAGATCATACTTTAGTAGCTTTAGGTTGTTGACCTCCTTCTGCACTTCCGATACCATCCTTTCTACTTTATCTTCCGCCTCTGCATTCTTCTGACCGGTTGCGCTTGGACCAACTTGATTTTGTCCCCCTTGGTTCATCTCTGTCGGCTTCAGTGTTTCATCAGCGCGTCCGGAGTTAGCTCAGGCTTCTTTGCGGTATCTTTCTTGTTCGGAGGAGCTCGCTGCTTTTCACTTGTCTTTCGTATGAGTTGCTCCAGTGTCTTGAGAACTTTGTCTATCTCCCGACGGAGCTTAAAGATTTATTCCCTTAGATCCGCCATAAACCACGCTCGATTTCCCGGTGGGGGAAAATCATTCCGTTTTTGCTCCCACAATGGTCTCGAGAACCACCTTGGAGATTCTGACTCCGCCCTTCTTCTCCGTGACGATGGTGATCTTGACTTATGTCTTCTATCTCTCGGAGTTTTCGATCTCCCCCTTCTTGAGCGCTTCCTCCATTGAGATCCGGAAGATGATGATGAGTGTCTGCGCCGCCTCCTGTATGGCGATGATCGCGAACGCGACATCTTTCTTGAAGCTTGGGAACGTCAGGTAGGTAGTCTTCGTACTTGAAATCGATACAAAACCCCACAGCGTCGTTGATCGTCTTTACTACACACCAGATAAGTAAAATAAAATCTCCAAAAATCGCTGAGTAATCTCTATGCTATAGTAATCTCCAACAAATCGCCACTATGATATCATGAAAGAAAAGGGTTACGAATTATGAGAGAGAGATAAAGACAGTGAATGTAAAATGGAAGAGTGACAGGTCTATACAGTGCCAATCATCGCGGGTACAGCCCGCAAGTTCTAAGCACCGTGTATAGAGATAAACACATGCAAATGTAGACAGAACGTTTGAGGTTTTACTTTCACAGCATACACATAGATGTGTAAACAGAACGTGCGAGGTTTTACTTTCACAGCATACACGTAATGTCCATGGCATGCGACACCAGTCACGATTACCTTTCTACCTCACTGCTCAGGTGATCATTTCAACCACTATCCTCAGTATTTATACCCTTCGTTCCCAGTCCTTTTCCGCCACTTTCCCTATCGTTCCAGTCTACTCATCATCTATCCTCAGGGTCTCCCGCAGTCGCTCTCTGTGTTGTCCTTGTCGTCGTCGATTTCCAACATGCCTTCAATCTGGAGCTGCTTTCATCATATCTAATGATTTTGTGCATGCTACTCATGTAATCTCCCCTCTGTCGGAGTTCCATCTTACTATGGTACTTGCCTATAACTCCGCTGTTTTTTTATACTGACTCGAATCTGACCTTGTTTGTCGTTCTGTTCTTGTTTAGTTTCATGGCCGTGAATTTTCTTTCATTTCTAGGTGAGTACTTTTTTTTTATTGGTTCGTTTCCAGTGCTTTAGGTCTTTCATCTTCTATCTGTTTCGTATGTTTGGAAATGTGAGCGACACTGTTACGTCGTTATATCTGCAGAAATTTCGTGATATTCCGGAGTACTTAGTCGTGTATGTTTTTTTTTCGTTTTGAAAATTTATTTTCATTCTATGCAAAATTATATTTTTGATTTTTGATTTTTCGATTTGTGATTTTAGCTTTATATTCCGAGTCGTGTGAATTTCTTAACGTATTTTATTCCGGACTTTCAGTTTTATATCCGTCAATTTGGTGCTTCTTGCTTTTCCAGGTACTCCTGGAATTTATTTCGGACGTCCGCATCCCTGCAGTTTCGGATGAACGCAAGTATCGTGGCGCGGGTTATCCTCCATGGACAATCCATGAGTCGGAGTTCCCGTCCGAACAGGTCAATCACGGGCGGTAGATCCGCCATCTCGTATGTGTTACCTACCATTCGATGAAAAGTTCCGACAATCGTCAAGGTCTTGGTTTTCTCAAAACCCGCACTTCTGAAGTGACGCAACGTCCTACGAGAGAGAGAGAGAGAGAGAGAGAGAGAGAGAGAGAGAGAGAGAGAGAGAGAGAGAGAGGTTGAATGGCAAAATTGAAATATGGGTCAAATTGCGGCCGCAATCTATTTCACAGTTGGAATGATTTTTTTTAATTTATGTAGCGTTTATCCTGGAAAGATCACAACAAAATTTACGAGTACTCAAATTTTCATGTTTTTTCACGCATTCTTCTGAGCGGGAAAACTCACTGAATTTGATGTACCTTTTTAGTTGGCCCAGGCATGGCTCAGTGGCAAAAATGAAAAATGTGCTAAATCAACGCGACAATTATTTCGCAGTCTAAATGATTTTTTGTAAAAGTTCTATTATTATTTTTGAAA